TCCTTCCTTCCTTCCTTCCTTCCTTCCTTCCTTCCTTCCTTCCTTCCTTCCTTCCTTTCATAAAAAAACAAATGAAGAAGTTTGCTACAAATTAAGCCTGAATACGGATCCACTGATTCAGCAGGATTTGTTTGTTTATTTGTTTGTTTGTTTGTTTGTTTCTGAGATCCCTCCCTGCAAACCAGTGGTTTTCAAAGCTGAATTCATGACCTCACTTTTTATTGTTTAGTTAGTTGAAAATCTGAGTCTTGATGATGTGCAAAAAAAACCTTGAAGTTATTGTGTTAAATAAAACAGACAAAATATTTTAAACAACCAAATAAACGTTTTGAAATAAAAAACAAATAGCTGTTTTGACAACAGAACAAACTTATTTAACCTAAATAACATTTTGTCTCATAGAAGCTGCTTTCAGTGAAGTTGCAGGAACAAAATCTTTTGACTAGAAAGTTTTTAGAAAATAAAAATGACATGTTTACAATTTATTCTAATACAGAAAAAAGCAGAGCATTCATTAAACAACATTTGTTGAAAGTTTTGGAACCAAACCTTTAAAAAATTAGTGTATCTGTGACGAAGTTGTTTAATAAAAAAATAATAAATTAATTAATAGGGAAATTAACAAATCAAATATTTTGCCTTATTTTAACATAATTAGATTTAAACTTGGGCTTTGTAGCTAAAAGTTCTCTTCCTGTCTCTTAGTCATGTGTTAATTCCCGTTAGCTGCTGCACCATAAGGAGCACAATCTTGTGGCGCAGCAGCAGCTGTCCCGTAACGAGTCCTTACTGTCTCCTCAGGAGTGTCCGTCCACTCATGACCTGCTGAACTCACTGCGGCAGGTGGAGAAGATGCTGGAGCTTCATGAAACATCGTACCAGCAGGGTCTGCGCTCGCTCAGGAAAAAGATCAACGCCCTTCACAATAGCACCATGGCTGTGTTTAAAACAGGCAGAAATGGTGAGGAACCTTTTGTTTCTGGATGGATGGACGGACAGATGGATGGATGGATGGATGGATGGATGGATGGATGGATGGATGGATGGATGGATGGATGGATGGATGGATGGACGGATGGATGGATGG